CCCCAGCCGGGCACTGGTGGCTCACGCCTGTAATCCTAGCTACTCAGGAGGCTGAGATCTGAGGATCGCGGTTCAAAGCCAGCCCGGGCAGGAGAGACCGTGAGACTCCTATCTCCAATAAACCACCAGAAAACAGGAAATGGCATTGTAGCTCAAGTGGTAGAGCACTTGCCTTGAGCTGAAGAGCTGAGGGACAGCGCCCAAGCCCAGAGTTCAAGCCCCATGACCAACAACAAAAAAAAAATTACTGCCCCAAGGCTACAAACCTGTACAGCATGTTACTATTCTAAACATTGTAGGAAATGTAACACAATGGTAATTATGTGACTAAATATACCTAAAGATAGAAAATGAATAGTAAGTAGCTAGGCAATAGGAATTTTTTTTTTTTTGGTCGGTTGTGGGGCCTGAAAGCTGGGCCTGGGCACTGTCCCTCAGCTCTTCAGCTGAAGGCTAGCACTCTACCACTTGAGCATCAGCCCCACTTCAGGCTTTTTCTGCTTATGTGGTGCTGAGGAATTGAACCCAGGGCTTCATGCATGTCAGGCAAGCACTCCACCACTGAGCCACCTTCCCAGCCCCGGAATTTTTGTTGTTGTTGGCTTGATTGTTTTTTGTCATGGGGCTTGAACTCAGGACCTGGTCCTTGAACTGTTTTGCTCAACTCTAGTACTTGGCCACTTTGAGCCACAGCTCCACTTCCTGTTTTCTGGTAGTTAATTGGAAACAACAGTCTCAGGGACTTTGCTGCCCAGGCTGGCTTTGAACTGTAACTCTCAGATCTCAGGCTGAGTAGCTAGGAATTCAGGCATGAGCTACCAGCACCCAGTACTTCATAATAATCTTACGTAACTACTTTTGTGGAGTATAACTGGACTGGTGTCATTCTAAGTTACACCATGGACATGGACTTGTACATAGCACAGTTCATTTGCTGTGAATTCCTTGATCTAAGGCAATGCTTTGTAAGTTAACCATTGTTAGGTTAATCATCCTAGAAGCCACACTTTGGAATATGAAATATTGGAGTCTTTATTATACATTTAGTAGGCTTCCCACAGCCAGTTGTTACAAAGGCCTGTGGCCCTCAAATACATATACCATAGCTAGGAAACAGGCTAGAGGAAAGAACAAAAACAATACCAGCAAGTTAATTTAGCTCTGATGGACAGCTGAATTGGGAAGGCATGATGACTGGAGACAAGCCAGGAGACAGAAGTGGCATTGTCCTGGTGGCTGGTCTGGTCTGGGACGGAATACTGAGTGGATCTACAGGAAATTCCCAGTCCCAGGCACTGGGCTGACAGATTCAGTAACCCATCAGCCAAGTGCCTGCCCCTGCTTCCAGGGTTTGAGGCATGCCCATCATCTGGGAGGCTGGTGATAGTCAGGGGGCTTTTCCCTCCTCCAGCATGTGGCCATCCAACCATGTGGCCAATTTGGTGCCAACCAGACCTGACCTTACGTCATCATGATGGTGGGTTCTGTGAACCCAAGATTACTTTTTACAGAAGCACTGTGTACAGAGAGAGCAAGTCTATATCCAGACTGTCTATTCCAACAAGAACAAATGGTTTCCCTTTGAATGGAATTCGCTCAATGTAATCAACCTGCTGCCACCAAGTTGTTTCCATGTCAGCTGCAGAGAAATGGGAGATCAAGGAAAGGGGGATTTCTTGAGAGTATATTTAGGAATGATAGGGAACATAGGGATGGTACCATCTACACTGGGCTTTTTTTGGTAGTCTACCTCTGTTCTGGAAGACCACCAGGAGAGACCCCACAAACATAGACTACAGACAACAGAAAGTCTTTATTACAAGCCAGAACTACATTGCTTAATCAGGTGCCCAAAAGTGTAGTCCTGAGCCCCCATTTAGGGCCTCTTTTTAAGCAAAAATTTATATTCTTGGGGCTGGGAAGGTGGCTCAGTCGTAAAGTACTTGCCTTGCATGCATGAGGCCCTGGGTTTGATTACTCAGCACCACATAAGCAAAAGCTGGAAGTGGTGCTGTGGCTTAAGTGGTAGAGCACTAGCCTTGGCTGAAGAGCTGAGGGGCAGTGCCCAGACCCAGAGTTCAGGAACCATGACTGGCAAAAAAAAAAAAAAAAAAAAAAAAAAAAAAAATATATATATATATATATATCCTTGTTTGCTTAGTGGTAGAAATTACCTAATGGTTCCTTCCTGCATGTGCAAGCCAAGCAGGAAGTTACAGAAGCATAATAGACAATGCTGTAATCGGGCATTGAGCAAGGGCAGCATGACCTGTTTTCTATGATTGTTTATGATTATCTAGGATTGTTACTGTTAGAACCAGGTTAAATTAAACAAATAGAGTATTAATTAGACCAAGGAAAAATGAAATTTAACTAGGACAAACAAGTTCCAGGTAACCTGAGAAACAAAAGTACAGACCCGAGGAATGAACAAACTGAGGCCTGGCATTTACTAAAATTTGCAAAGTGAGGAAGAGTAAGGCCAAACTTGAAGGGCAGCATCTCCCTGTACAGAAAAACTCCAGGAAAGTCAATAAAAGGAAAAATTCCAAAGATAAAGACTTGAAGAAAATTGTAACAAATTGTAACAATTCCAGTAGGTTAGTGGAATTTGGTAAATAGAAGTGAAACTCAGAAAGAGCCTGAAAACCTGAAAGGTGGTTTGATTTTGAGATGTGATAAGAAATTTGGATATTTATAAGATGATTTTTTTTTTGTTGCTTTGTATGTCCCTCCTGCACGGTATAACCCCTGTTCTCACTGTATTTGAGGTTGGTATAATTTGTGGAGGGGAAGGGAAAAAACAAATTGTTTAAATAGGGATACAGGTGGACCCATTGCAACAATGAGATGTACAAGATGTTAGGTCAAAAAATGAACTTTACAACATTGGCAGGAGGGGTGGGGAGGGAGGATGGGAAGGGATAGGAAGGGGAAACAAAGGAGGAGGCAACAATGCTTGATAAGAAATGTACTCATTACCTTGCCCATGTAATTGTAACCCTCTGTATGGCATTTTCACAATTGAAAAAAAGAAATTTGGAATGTGGCTTTTGCTTCAAGGACAAGGAATTACTGTTTGTAATTGCTATTTCACTCACTTGCTTCTTTGATGGGAAGATTTGGGATAAGGACTTTGCCTTGTGACGTATGGCCTTGGTTACTGGAATGACGAATTATAATCACTATTTTGTAATCACTAACTGCTAGCTCTGCTTCTGTAATTGCTTCTTTGCCAATCCCAAAACTACCACTGGCAAACTGTGAGTGGTACCCCCTTCCCCTATGGATCTTACCTTTAAATATCCTGAGCTATTTGACTTTATTGCTGTTCTTTATTGTTTTGGTATAGTGAGGGGCAGCTGCTACAGCAATAAAGACTCCTTGCCTAATTGACCAAGTGTTGGGGTGTCTTGTTGGGAAATTGGGGTACTACAGTTACCTAGAAACATGATTGTCTCTATGATTGTTACCTAGGAACAGAAACAAAACAGTGGGTACATATATCTTTAAATGTCAGACTATGAGGAATGAGTCTCATGGGTGGAGGTACACTGTTTTCTTTTTAATGTCCTGCTAGGCACTGGTGGCTCACATTGGATCTGAGGATCCAATTCAAAACTATTAGCAGGCTCTCTGTCTCAGACTCATCCCCTCCCAGTTCATCTGGCCAAGCCTAACTACAGCTGGCCTTCAGCCCTGGCCATTACTCTACTTCCTGGAGCTATGTTTTACACCTAACCCCCTGACTATAAATTTGACTCTGAACTAAGGAGGGGCACCTTGTCAGCCTCAACTGGCAATAAACTGCTGTTCTTGTACATGACCGTGTCCACATGGTCTTCTGGGATAGGTGCTTTCAAAAGCCAGCCAGGCAGGAAAGTCCAAGAGAATGTTTTTTTGAACTCCGGGCATGGGCCCTGTCCCTCAGCTCTTCAGCTCAAGGTGAGAGCTCTACCGCTTCAGCCACAGTGGTTTATTGGAGATAAACCACTTTTCTGCCCCGACTGGCTTTGAACTGAGATCCTCAGATCTCAGCCTCTTAAGTAGCTAGGATTAAAGGCGTGAGCCGGGAGACTGAGTCAGGCCGAACAGGAAAAGCCCTGGGACTCTTACCTCCAACAAACCACCACAAAAACTGGGAAGTGGTGCTGTGGCTCAAGTAGTAGAGCGCTAGCCTTGAGTGAAAAAGCTACGGAGAGCACCACGCCCTGAGTTCGAGCCTGAGGACTGGCCCACGCGCGCTCCCGTACACAGGGTTTTGAAGGGAGTGGCGCTGGCCTTGCGCGGAAGGGCGCAGGGCGGCGCCCAGGCCCAGCCCCGGCCCGCGGCGGCGCCCAGGCCCAGCCCCGGCCCGCGGCGGCGCCCAGGCCCAGCCCCGGCCCGCGGCGGCGCCCAGGCCCAGCCCCGGCCCGCGGCGGCGCCCAGGCCCAGCCCCGGCCCGCGGCGGCGCCCAGGCCCAGCCCCGGCCCGCGGCGGCGCCCAGGCCCAGCCCCGGCCCGCGGCGGCGCCCAGGCCCAGCCCCGGCCCGCGGCGGCGCCCAGGCCCAGCCCCGGCCCGCGGCGGCGCCCAGGCTCAGACTTCTCTGTCTGAATGCTGAGGCTTGATCTCGGCTCTTTCGCTTCCCAGGAAAACGCGCTACCACTCGAGCCACGCGCCAGCAGCCGCGTCCGCCCCCGGCCCCACGACAGGCCTCCAGTTTGTGCCTGGGGCCAGGGTTGCTGTGCAGGACTCTGCGTTCTGCGCCGGCGCGTGACGCACTTCCCGTTGCGCCGCCCTGGCGGAGGGCGCGCCGGATGAGGCATTTCCGGTGGCGTCAGACCACGACGACTGCAGCGGACCGTTCGCGGGTGTGGGGGGCGCGGCGCGCTAGCCCGGCCCGTCACGTGACCCGCGGCAGTCCGCGCGCGGCGCTGGCCGGTCCCCGTCTCTCCCCTTCGCCCGCGCTGCTCTGCCCTGCCGGCCGCCGCCCGGACCCGGGCTGTCCGTGTGTGGGAAGAGTGAGGAGGCCTCCGCGGCCCCGCGCGCGACGCGGCTCGGGACCGCCTCCTGCTCTCCTCAGTCGGTGCGATGGCCGCCAGCTCCCGGACAGCTTCGGGCTGGGTACGCAGGGGCTCTCCCTCGCCTTTCAGTAGCTGCCTCGCCGGCGCCGGTGGCCCACCCGGCCGCACTCGCTCCTCAGGAGGCTGAGACCTGAGGATCGCGGGTCAAAGCCAGCCCGGGCGGGAAGGTCCGCCAGACTCTTACCTGCTACCAACCACCCCAAAGCCGGAAGCGGAGCTGTGGCCCAAAGCGGTAGAGCGCTCATCTTGAGTGTAAGAGTTCAGGGACTGCCTTCAGGCCCTGAACGGAAGCCCCAGAACCAGCACAGAAAGGAAAAAAAGGAAAACATTAGCTGCCTCTCGGCCCCGAGGGTGGCCAGGTCATCCCTTCGGCCACAGTGAGCATTGACGCGCCCCTCCCGGCCCCTGGATGTCTTAGGGCCTCCAGAGACCGACCTTCTGGATTATTTTTGTCCGACGTCTTCCGCAGTTGGACTTCGGTACTAGGCGCAGGACCTCAATTCTGAGAACCCTTGTTCCTTAGGTGATTGTCTTCAGCAGTCGCTTGGGATCTCATTGGGGAAATAATTACCCCTTTTCCTTTATGCAAAAGTCTACTGTCCTTTTGCGTACTGGATCCTGAGACCCGAGACTGGTACTGGCTGTACGAAGATACGCATGTGTTTCTTAATTTATAGGCATTATGATCTGGAGGGTAATCAAGCGAACAGTGGAGTTCACAGTTACAGGTGGAGGATAGGTAATAAGATAGAGACAAGAAGCAGTATTAGAAATCCTGGTAAAGATCTCAGTTATTGAGTATGTAGTGCCTCTGGAGGGCCATTTGAATAGGAAATACACAGATTGAATACAAATATGCCCAAGGCCGGTGGCTCACGCCTGTAATCCTAGCTACTCAGCAGGCTGAGATCTGAGGATCCGGTTTAAAGCCAGCCCGGGCAGAAAAGTCTGAGACTCTGATCTCCAGATCTCCAGTAAACCACTAGAAAACCGAAGTGGCGCTGTGGCTCAAGAGGTAGAGCGCCCTCCTTGAGCTGAAGAGCGCAGGGACACCGCCCAGAGTTCAAACCCCATGACCCACAAAAAAGCAAACAAACATATGCACAAAGCTCAGAATATGACTAGAATCCTGAAATGGATAGAGTTGAGGACTCAGTGACAAAAGAAGGACATATCATGAAAGGCTGGATCCCAAGAGAGATGAGAGAACTTAAGAGGGTAGACAAACCTAGATTAGTAGTACATGTTTGTACCTTCTGGTAATGGTGTAACATGTTAACAGATTTGAATTGCCACTTTTCTCTGAAGAATTAGGATAGATCACTGCTTCTTTGATGGGCACCAGATTAAATAATATGTTTGTGAATTATGGTCATACCATAATTCCCAGTGGATCCACTTTAACATATTAGCCATATGATCTGTGATATAATGTTACTGCCTTTACTGCTCTTACCTAAACCATCTCACTTTATTAAGAACCATCTGCAGGGAGAGCATTAGGTGATACAATATAGAGTTAGAGAGTGTTGATAAGCCTGATAGGGAAGCAGATATAGGTGAGCTAGTTCTGTGGCTTAGTGAAACCTTCCAACAAAAATAGGATACATATGTAATATCTTCAATTACTCTAGATTACACAAGTATAAACTGTAATTACCTTGCATAGTTTCTGTGACTATAAGCTTCCATTACTATTTATCTGATCTTTTTTGATTCTCTTTATTTTCTAATTTCCACTTTTTTCTTTGGTTTAGCTCAGTGATTTCAAACGTAATTTTCTATGCTTTGAGTGCATCTCCTCTAAACATTTTTTTTTAATTTTTTTTTTTTTTTTTTGGAGTCTGGTCACAGGGCCTGAACTCTGGGCCTGGGTGCTGTCCCTCAGCTCTTCAGCTCAAGGCTAGCACTCTACCACTTGAACCACAGTGCCACTTCCGGCTTTTTTTCTTTTTGCTTATGTGGTGCTGAGGAATCGAACCCAGGGCCTTATGCATGCAAGGCAAGCTCTCTTACCACTGAGCCACCTTCTCAGCACCTTCTTTTTTTTTTTAATAAGTTTTTTTTTATTGTGAAAATCCTTTACAGAGGGGTTACAGTTATTTCTGGTTCTTCTGTCTTGTATCCAGTTGAACAGGGTATGCATTATTACAGGGACTATTGTCATTTACGGATATATCTATGGAGTTGTCCTTGGAGGAATGGCAGCTTCTGGACTCTGCACAGCGACACTTGTATAGGGAGGTGACCCTGGAAAACTACAGCAACTTGTTATCAGTGGGTAAGTCTAGCATCCCAATTTAACTCAAGTTGGGAGTCATAAATTGCCATCTCTTTTTCTTTTGTTGACTCACCCTAGATCCACTGAAGTATTTAATGACTATTAACTTGAACTATAGAGGTAAATAAATGTTCTAGTTTCTATTTGGTCTTTGGCACCTAATGGTATACTTTAACAAAGTACCAATGAACAGGTTATTTGTGTGTATGTGTGTGTACGTGTGCCAGAACTGAGCCTTGAACTCAGGGCCTTGTAGTCTTGCCTAACTTTTTCAGTTGAGCCATACACCTCTACTTTGCTGGTTAATTGAGATGAGAGTCTCACAGATTGTCTGCCCAGACTGGCTTCAAACTGTAATCTTCAAATCTCAGTTTCCTGAATAGCTAGGAATCACTGTGCATACTTAGTAGTGTAACATTAGGCATATTCCAGTGGTGTCTGGTGCAGATCAGCAGTTCTGTTTAGTTACTGAACCCTTAGTTTTATCCCTAGCAGTTTGGTTCATATCCCTTGTGATTTTCCACCAACAGGATATCATGGTACTAAACCTGATTTAGTCTTCAAGTTGGAGCATGGAGAAGAGCCATGGGTTATAAATACCAAAATGTCCACACAGAACTGTCCAGGTGAGTGAGTGTAAACCTGAGATGTGGGACATGTGGAGGGTGACTGGTTTTTCTTGAGAGCTTGGCATAGGAATTGTGTTGTAAATAGAAACCCCTGAAAGTTTTTAAATTGATCTGGCTGACTCCATGTAAGATAATGAACACCTCAGGTCAGGAGATTGCTGCCATTTGGCATGTTGGGTTCTCCTTCCTACCAACTGACATACTTTTTATTTTCTTTTCCTGTCAGTACTGGGGCTTGAAGTCAGGACACTGTCCTTGTGCTTTTATGTTCAAGGTTAATGCTCTTCCATTTGAGCCACATTTTGATTTCTAGCTTTTTTGGTGATTAATTAGAGAGAACAGTCCCATGGACTTTCCTGCCTGAGAGACTTCCAACTGTGAGTCTCAGATCTCAGCCTCTTTAGTAGTTAGGTTTATAGGCGTGAACTAATAGTAAAAGTAAAAAAGTAAAAGACCCTATTTAAAAAGTAACAGTGATGGGCTGGGAAGGTGGCTTAGTGGTAAAGTCCTCACTTTGCATGCATGAGGCCCTGGGTTTGATTCCTCAGCACCACATACGCAGAAAAAACCAGTAGTAGCACTGTGGCTCACATGGTAGAGCGCTTGCCTTCAGCTGAAGAGCTGAGGGACAACGCCCAGGCCCAGAGTACAGGCCCCATGACGGACAAAAAAAAAAAAAAAAAAGTAATAAGTGAGGGCTGGGAATGTGGCTTAGTGGTAGTGTGCTTGTCTAGCATGCATGAAGCCCTGGGTTCCATTCCTTAGTACCAAATAAACAGAAAAAGCCTGAATTAGTGATGTGGCTCATATGGTGGAGTGCTGTCCTTGAGCAAAAGAAGCTCAGAGACAGTGCACAGGCCCTGAGCTCAAACCCTAGGACAGGCAAAACAAACAAACAAACCTAGATGAGTTTTTGTGTGCATATTTGTTTTGTAGAAGGCTGGGAAGATTGGTACCAGAAAAATCAAGATGAGCTTGAAAGTATTGAGAGAAGCTATGCTTGTAATATGATTGGAAAACTTCATCTGAGCAAATCCCATGTTTCTTCAAGGCAAAGACTCCCTAAGTCTAACATACAGGGGGAATGTTTGACACAAAACTTGGGTTCAAGCGGAAACTTAAGAAAGAATCCTAATAAGTTTCATAGTAATGAAGAGTCATATTTTCTTAAGCATCAAAGTGCTTATAGCATAGAGAAGAGCTGTGTGTGTAAAGAATGTGGGAAAGCTTTTCGTTGTAAATCACAGCTCATTGTACATCTCAGAATTCATACAGGGGAGAGACCTTACGAATGCAGTAAATGTGAAAGAGCCTTCAGTGCCAAGTCAAATCTTAATGCTCATCAGAGAGTTCACACAGGAGAAAAACCCTACTCATGTAGTGAATGTGGGAAAGTCTTCTCTTTCAGGTCACAACTCATAGTACACCAGGAAATTCACACAGGAGGGAAACCGTATGGTTGCAATGAATGTGGGAAAGCGTACAGTTGGAAATCTCAGCTTATTTTACATCAAAGAAGTCATACAGGAGTCAAACCTTATGAGTGCAGCGAATGTGGGAAAGCCTTTAGTTTAAAGTCTCCCTTTGTTGTACACCAGAGAACTCACACAGGAATGAAACCTCATAAGTGCAATGAATGTGGGAAAGCCTTTAGAAGTAAGTCCTACCTCCTTGTTCACATCAGAATGCACACAGGAGAGAAACCCTATCAGTGTACGGATTGTGGGAAAGCCTTCAATATGAAGACACAACTAATTGTGCACCAAGGAGCTCATACTGGAAACAACCCTTATCAGTGCAGTGACTGTGGCAAGGCCTTTGGGAGAAAGGAGCAGCTCACTGCTCACTTGCGAGCCCATGCTGGGGAGAAGCCTTATGGGTGCAGTGAGTGCGGGAAGGCTTTTAGTAGCAAGTCGTACCTTGTCATACACAGGAGAACACACACAGGAGAGAGGCCCTATGAGTGTAACTTATGTGAGAGAGCCTTCTGTGGGAAATCACAGCTAATTATACACCAGAGAACTCACTCCACAGAGAAGCCCTATGAATGCAGTGTGTGTGAAAAGGCCTATCCTAGGAAGGCATCCCTTCAGATACACCAGAAAACTCACTCAGGAGAGAAACCTTTTAAGTGCAGTGAGTGTGGGAAAGCCTTTACTCAGAAGTCCTCTCTCAGTGAACATCAGAGAGTTCACACGGGAGAGAAGCCATGGAAGTGCTCTCAATGTGGAAAATCCTTCTGTTGGAACTCAGGACTTCGTATACATAAGAAAACACATAGAGAAATTCAAGTACTGAAATCAAAGACTTTTTCACAGGAGCTGATGCTATAGAGACTCAGAAACGATTATTCAGATGGAATTAAAAGCAGTGGGTCCTATCACGTAAGTTGTATAGGAGAGACCAGGCATACTTGAGTAAGTTGAAAAAACTGTAATCAAAATATTTGTAGGGCTGTCCTTGGAAGGAGGCTTAGTGGTAGAGCACTTGCCTTGCATGCATGAGGCCCTGGGTTTGAGTCCTCAGAACCACATAAGCAGAAAAAGCTGGAAGTTGTACTGTGGCTCAATGGTAGAGCACTAGCCTTGAGCTGAAGATCTGAGGGACAGCGCCGAGGCCCAGAGTTCAAGCCCAACGACCAACAAAAACAAAAACTGTAGACAAGAGAATGAACAGTGGGGAACAGTAATAACAAGTATTGTAGTGTCATTAGGAAGATGTGGGCCATTCACACTGAGACTTTGTAAGTTTAATACATTAAGGAAGCATGCCGCGGACCGGGTTCTGTCGGGATGACGGAGGACACCTAGGGGGAGGAACCTGGAATAGGATGGGGAGATGGCAAACAGACAACTCACACACAAGAGGAGTGGATGCTGAGTGCGATTTAATGTAGAGGATAACAAACTTTTATAACAGAAGTCTCCATGAGAAAGGGCAAAAGGTTACACAATCTTGCTGCACGGCTTCATTTTTGGGTGGTCACCAGCTGGTCACCTGATAGGCACTTGTCTCCGGCTTATCTCTAAGGAATACAATGGGTTTGGGTTTCGATGTTTGTCACCAATTAACCATTTCCTATCTTTATAGAGCCTTAACTTTCCCATACAATCTTCCTTGTTTTTTCTTTAATAGTAAACCTCAAGGAGACCTGGATCTAGCAATTCTCTTAGTAAATAGCAGGAAATTCTTTCTCCTAAATAATTGCCTCAGCAATTGCCATACATTCTTTCTGTTCTAACTGAGCCTACAGCTTCTAATAAGTCCCTTACAAACAATTCCTTCTGCTGAAGTGACTTTGTGAAACCCCTAATACCTTTATATTTACTTATAACTTGTCTACTAAACTCCATAAGAGGGGTTTCAGGGTAGCACTTAACTCTGGTGAGTTAGTCATATTTATAGGACACTCATCAGATATTGGAGTCGTCAACACTCTTCAGAAAGAGCTTTGAATAAGGGAATGTTGACAATGAGCAAGTACACAAAGCAGTAGAAGCAGTAAAAGATTAATAGGCACTCTTATGAGGGAAAGAAAGGCAGAAACACATCTTTTCCAGGGGTTTTGCCAGCCTTTTTCCAGGAGTAGGCCTCTTAGAAGCCCTATTCTCCGAGTTAGACTTCGGTGAAGTCCCAAAACTTGGAGATAGGTTTCTGTAAAGCCCCATTCTCTGAGGTAGACTTTGGTGAAGTCCCAAAACTCAGAGGTAGGTCTCTGAAGCTCCTATCTTGGTCTGATAGATGGTTTCCCATGCTAAGCAGACTCTACTGGAGTCGGCGTGGCAGAAGCATTTTCCCATAGGAAGCATGTTACCTATGTGAAACTATGCTTTTATAAAATAAGATAAAGATAACTTCAGTTATAAACATGGTGGAGTATGAAATTTTGTTTTTTCTAAATATGTAAATAAGTAGAATCACAAGAAACTTATACCAAAAACCAGGATATATCTCATGTATCCTAATTAACTGGATTATACATTTTTTATTTTTTTTTTTGGTCGTGGGGCTTGAACTCTGGGCTTGGGCGATGTCCCTCAGCTCTTCAGCTCAAGGCGAGCACTCTACCACTTGAGCTACAGCGCCACTTCCAGTTTTCTGGTGGTTTATTGGAGATAGGAGTCTCACGGTCTCTCTTGCCCGGGCTGGCTTTGAACTGCGATCCTCAGATCTCAGCCTCCTGAGTAGCTAGGATTACAGGCGTGAGCCACCAGTGCCCGGCCATTTTGGTATTTTTTAATGGTGTGTGTGTGTGTGTGTGTGTGTGTGTACACTTGATAGTTTGTGACATACCATCCCCCGATAGTCTCTCCATTAAATAACATCACTATCTCCATGTTTTAGCAGTATAGCATGTTTGGAATTGGAAGGATACAGTTATCTAAATATTCTGCATGAGCAGGTCTGGCAGTTATGACTGCTTATAAAAGGAGTCACCATAATGAGCACTTACCTTGTATTAGTAGCTTAGTATCTGTTCTCCATTGGTAATAATGAGTTGTTTTTTGGTTGTTGGTTGTGGGACTTGAACTTGGGGCTTGAGAGGCACTGTCCCTGAGCTCTTTTTGCTCAAGGTTAGCACTCTACCACTTTGGGCCACGGCTCTACTTCCAATTTTCTGGTGGTTTACTAGGGATAAAAGTCTCATGGACTGGGCTGGGAAGGTGGCTCAGTGGTAGAGAGCTTGCCATGCATGCATGAGGCTCTGGGTTCGATTCCTCAGCACCACATAAGCAGAAAAAAAAACCAGGAAGTGGCACTGTGGCTCAAGTGGTAGAGTGCTAGCCTTGAGCTGAAGAGCTGAGGGACAGCGCCCAGGCCCAGAGTTCAGGCCCACTACTGGACCCCCCCCCCAAAAAAAAAGAAAAGTCTTATAGACTTTCCTGCCTAGGCTGGCTTTGAACCATAATGCTCAGATCTTAGCCTCTGGAGTCACTAGGATTACAGTTGCAAACCACTGGTGCTTGGCTCTGATACTTTTTTTTTTGTCAGACGTGGGGCTTGAACTCTGGGCATGAACGCTGTCCCTCAGCTCTTCAGCTCAAGGCTAGTGTTCTACCACTTGAGCTACAGCACCACTTCTGGTTTTCTGGTGTTTTATTGGAGATAAAAGAGTCTCACGGTCTTTCCTGCCTGGGCTGCCTTTGAACCGTGATCGTAAGATCTCAGCCTCCTCAGTAGCTAAGATTACAGGCGTGAGCCACCAGCGCCCAGCTTTCTGATACTTTCTTATTAAGACTCTTCACATTTCTTTCAACTAATACATTGTTTGGAGTCCTGATATTTATCTCCAGACTTTTTTCAATCATGCTTAACACCATAATCTACTACATTGCTCAAACCCAAACCTAAGGATAATTCTGGATGCCTTGCTTTTCCTTGTACTTTATTCATCAAATCTTTGTTCATTCTACCTTTAGGATATGATTTTTGACTAAAAATGAGTTATGAGTTTCCTGAAAATGTATTTCTTCAATTGAACTTTAAATCTTCAGACATTTTTACATTACTCGTAAACTTTATTTTTTTTTTGGGGGGGGGGGTCCAGTCGTAGGGCCTGAACTCTGGGCCTGGGTGCTATTCCTCAGCTCTTCAGCTCAAGGTTAGAGCTCTACCACTTGAGCCACGGCGCCACTTCTGGCTTTTTTCTTTTTGCCTGTGTGGTGCTGAGGAATCGAACCCAGGGCCTCATGAATGCAAGGCAAGTGCTCTACCACTGAGCCACCTTCCCAGCCCAAACTCATCTTTATGCTGCAGAATATTTTTGTAACTAGCAGAATAAAGAATATGTAGTTTCTTTTGAAATTGAAAATAGCCCTTTTGAAGAGCACTTGTAGTAAGTAGCTAACATATTAGTAGTTACATTGTGAGGGTGTCAGAAATAGAACAATATAAAACTGACTATTCAACTGAATAGTTTAAAATTCTAAAATTTAAATTTTAAAATTTTGTGCCAGGACAGTTTAGATGAAAGGGTGTACTTTGAAAACATGTTATATGAAGTGACTTTACTCATAAGAATGTCAGAAAATCAAAGTAGTGGCATGAGCCTCTCACTTCTAGCTAATCTGTTCATGAGCCACTCACTTCTAGCTAATCTGTTTATTTTTTCTTCATTGTACTTAACTCCTGTATAGGCTTTGTTATTTACTTTCTTTTTTTTTTTTCTCTTTAACTTTTCCACTGAATTGAAAGTTTTTTCTTCTCATGTTTCTCCAGTGCCTCATTCTTTTTTTTTTTGTCAGTCGTGGGCCTGAACTCTGGGCCTGGGCCTGGGCACTGTCCCTCAGCTCTTCAGCCCAAGGCTAGCACTCTACCACTTGAGCCACAGCACCACTTCCAGCTTTTTCTGCTTCTGTGTTGAGGAATCAAACCCAGGGCTTCATGTATGCAAGGCAAGCACTCTACCACTGAGCCACCTTCCCAGCCCCATCCAGTACCTCATTCTGTTCAGAGCACAGCATATATACATTGTGTACTGAGTACCTTTTTTTCCTGCTTATTATATTTTATGAATTGCTTACATTCTTCCATGATAAGCTTCGTTTGAGAACAACCAAAATGACTTATCTGCACTCAATTTCCTGTCATTTTCAGTATTTCTTGTGTTTTTCAATACGTGAAGCATAGGTATTCATTTGAGATTTATTGCATACTTGGAAGGCAAACCTTAAAAACAGCTCTGGGCTACGAATGTGGCTTACTTGTATAATGCTTGTCTAGCATGCATAAAGCCCTGGGTTTGATTCCTTAATACCAATAAACAGAAAAGGCTGGAAGTGGTGCTGTGGCTCAAGTGGTAGAGTGCCGTCCTTGAGCAAAAGAAGTTTAGGGACAGTGCATAGGCACCGAGTTCAAGCCCCAGTACTGGCTAATAACAAAACAACAATAACAACAAACAAACCATAACCACAATCAGCTCCTCCACATAGCATTTCTGGTTTTTTATTCATTCAAATAAGCACCACCATAAAGGTTTTGTTTCCTTTATAGAAACTTGGCAATAGCCGGGCGCCAGTAGCTAACGCCTGTAAACCTAGCTACTTAGGAGGCTGAGATCTGAGGATATCGGTTCAAAGCCAGCCCAGGCAGGAAAGTCGGTGAGACCCTTATCTCCAATAAACCACTAGAAAACTGGAAGTGGCTGGGCTGGAAAGGTGGCTCAGTGGTGGAGCGCTTGCCTTGCATGCATGAGGCCCTGGGTTCGATTCCTCAGCACCACATAAGCAAAAAGAAAAAAAGCCAGAAGTGGTGCTGTGGCTCAAGTGGTAGAGCACTAGCCTTGAGCTGAAGAGCTGAGGGACAGCGCCCAGGCCCAGAGTTGAGGCGCCATGACCGGACCCCCCCAAAAAAAAAACCAGAAAAAAACAAAACTGGAAGTGGCACTGTGGCTCAAGTGGTAGAGCATCCACCTTGAGCTGAAGAGCTGAGGTACAGCGCCCAGGCCCAAGACCTATGACTGACAAAAACAAAAAAACAAAAAATCCAAACTCTCCTTAAACATCAG